TGAAGGATCTAATGACAACAACAGCACTATGCTGAGTACAGCGAAGAACATGGCACACCAACCCGAGAACAAGCGAAGTGAAGAACATGAAAGGCATTTCGTTCATATCGTTTGTTCGGAGTTGTAATCTTGAACCTTTGTCGGTGTACATGTAACTAATACAGACCGTAATCTGATCGTAAACTGCGATTATGAGCATGCAGACCCGAGATTTAGAAGGTAAAATACCGGTAGCCAATCAGTTCCGAGACCCGAAAACAATATTCGTCATTCACCAACTCCCGTAACTCCACTATCGGAAAATAAATGCCAGCATAATCAGAATTGACTTTGATTTCTCACAAATAATTTGTCAACCCCGCTAATCAAGCCAATCAGTCAGCAGATACTGACAACGCGTTGTTTTGAGAACGGGTAACCAGATTAGGTTACGGCACATTTACGCTTTTAATTGGTTCCAATATGACCAATAGGACCAGGCCAATCAACCCTGGAAACCCCTTTCAACTGCGCTGACAGGAAAAAAAATGTTGGCTCAGATCTCTGCATAAACGTTAAAGAGGGCCGTATTAGCGCCGATGGCAAGCTCAATTGATTTTAATAGCAGTGGTGGCAGCAGCACCTTTCGCCAACAGTGACTTCAATGGTGGACAGCTCTGCCGACTGAAGAACGACGAAGTCGTCCACCATTCACGACACGACGGGATGTCCGCTATCTCTGTTGCAACATGGTGCCACCCACTACTGAAACGGACTTCACGTATGGCGACAACCACGTCTTCAGCGATGAGGAACTTTTGTCGGAAGAGGGAGCGAAGCAAGGAACGAGGACCAGCGTTGCTCTGAAGATGAGTCTTCTTAGAGTGATGAATAGGCAGTCTCCAAAACTACTCTCTGTACCACTAGAAATAGAACTATGAAATATACCAGTTTGTACTTCTTGGTCTGATCGGGTACAACCGCCTTGCAGCACGAGTATCGCTTGCCTGAATATGATACTTGACGGTCATATCGTGACACGACCTCCCTTGGAAGAGACTTACGGCTGATCCATCAAGATGACGAACAATGCTTCTGACGCTGACTGATCTGCTACCTGTCCTTCTACGTAATGCGACGAAGTCTGTCTAGCACGGAGCCGCTTAGATCCTCGAGGATTCAATCCGTTGAGACGGATACTTGACGATTATATAGTGACAGTCTCAGCTGTCTAGTAGTCGCTTGTCACCGAGTTGG